GAAACAGTAGGAAAGCGTAGTTCAGGTTAGCAGTGGATATCGCAGCAAAGTAGCAGAGCATAGTACTTCCTTCTGTTCATCTTCGCCTGACAAGTTGGCACTGGTCATTCGGGTAGGGTAAACAAAAATGGCCACCTTTATACACGACGGGTTGAATGTTCTACGTCTTCTGATTGGTTAACCTTCTATTAGTAGACTATAAAGTGAGTCAAGCCATTTGGATTGGCTCACTAGTTACATATTATACACAAAAAAACTGTAACAGTTACCGCAACCATAAACAAGACTGAAGAGACAAATAATGGATCAGCAGTTTGTGCAAAAAACCATCAGCAAAAGTTCTCCTGTGGTGGGTGATCAGAGGGCAAAAGAACCTGCACCCATTGCAAATGATACAGACACAGAAGCTGCTCTTGAAGTACTCTCAATGCAACACTAAGAGATGCACGACATGCTACAGCCACTTGGCATGTTCTGATTCCTGGATTGTCTCTAACAGCCTGTAGAATGTTTTCTTCATGGTCATGCATACGAGTGGATCCTGGTCTTCCTCGATTGATAGTTTGTGGTGCCACATATCCTGTCTCGGCAATGCAACAATAAACAGCAGCAAAGGTTGTATGACTAAGCTGCCTTTGGTCTTGAAACACAATCTAGTGCAGCCTCACATCCATTACTATTTGTGGGGTTGTATGTAAAAATCATATCTGCCTGATCACAATATGAATATCCTGCTATTGTTAAATGGAACACTTCTCAGTTAACTCACTGGTACATATGTTAAACGCCATCTACCATAAACTTTCTTTAAACTTAATAACTCAAAAACAAAGGATTTTAGGGACATATGTTTATATGAACTTTTGTTTTGTTCTTGTTTTGGTGTGTGTGAATCCACCCCAAAAGTTTCTAAAAGTATTTTTGATGCACCCTATATATATATATATATATATATATATATATATATATATATATATATATATACACACATACAGTGTGATGCAAATAAATCCAGAATTTTTACATGGCAGCAGCAGCACCATGGCATCACAGTATAGCAAGGTTTCAAGAGCGCCAGTAGAAAGTACTACACCTCAGTAGCTGTCTGGCCATTGATGCACAAGGTGATTAGTAATCAACATGTCTTCAGAATACATTTGTCAAGATGCTGCTGTGGAGAGTCTTTGCACCATCCATAAAACCAAGGAAATCATTGGTTGTTTTATGGCATATCAACCTCAGTGGGTCATTTAATGCCAACAAAACTTTGGTAAAAAAAAAGTTGTGTATATATACATATATATTTGAACCATTTTTCAATTATCCATATTTTTGAGTACAATCCAACTTTTAGGAAATTTACAATATTGGATGGTTTTATTTTCATAAAAAGTTTTTTTAAATTATTCACTTGGTAATATTTTGTTTGCACTAGATCAAAATCTACACACTAAAACTATATGGATTGTTTTTGTTTGGTTTACAGCATATCAATCTCAATGCTGACAAAATTTTTATTGCTGGTAATATTTTGTTTTGTCAAAACTCTATTTCTGGTAATATCTTTCCTTCAAAAATGTATTACTGGTAATAATTTTTTTTACAAAACATTTCAGGTATTAAAACCTATTTTTACACTTTTATATTGTTTTTACCCCAGTTTCAGGGCTAACTATTTGCCCATAGCTGGGACTCTAACAGGTGCTACCACCCTGGGTCAGGGCGGACCCGGGAACACCAGCAACCAAGAGGCGGTTCCACACTCCTTGAAACCTCCTGATCAGAGGTCCCGCTGCTGGGTGTAGTTTATCGTCTTACCCAGGATGCGGATGTAGTTGATCGTCATACCCAGGATGGAAAGAAATCATTGAATGACTTAAATATCATCATCTCAACTATTTTGTGTGGGGCATCTTAGCGAAGGAGGTGAATAGCAGGCCCTGTAACAAAGATGATCTCAAAGCAACCATCAAGGATGCTATGGCCAAGCTCTTCTCCAGCTTCCAGACCTGACTGGAGAAAGTGTTGGCCACATCAAGTAATTTTTTGTACCTTATATATATGCTTGTCTTGCCAAGTGGTTAGAATGTTTGCATTCTGACCATGAGACCTGGGTTCAAATCTCACAATTTGTCAGGAAGGAGACTTCCTGATGTTATCAGATTGAAGGGGTCAATCCCAGCATGTGGCACCGTTGGAAAGTGCTTGAAAACTATACCACGGATTAATCCAATCCTTGTGAATGAAACTGTGTAGACAAAAACATTGGGTGCTGTCAACAGCTGTGCTAGCACAAAGTCACAAGTCATAACGACCGAGGGCTTGAGCATGATGCCCTTGTTCAAATTGTTGATCATGCTAGATAACATGCTCTTTCCCAGAAACTGTACCTAAGGTCTGCTCAGCATAGTTGCAGTATAAACCACAGGTGGGTTTTGTGGGCGCTGAATAAACACAAATGCACCTGAGCAAGCATCTGCAATAGGGAATGGCTAGCCGCCCTAGTAAGATGGGTATCCTTGAATACGAGTGGCCAGCTATACATATGTCCCAGTGTATAAATTTTCATTGAAATATATTAATCTGTTATATAAAAAAAGCTATTTTATTATCCATTTTTTTCCCAGATTTATCTGTGCAATGCTGAATAATATACAGTGGGAACCACAAAAAAAAGACGGGAACTTTTTAACAATCCAATAAAACCAAGAGTGATGGAAGAAAAATATTTTATTCATAGTAATTGAAACCTTAAAACATGCCATTTAAGAAATAATGATGGAATTTTCATTTTTTAAAAATTACGTCCTGTAGATGGCATCCTCCTGTACGAATGCATTCTTGAAATCTGCTGTTGAGATTCCTCATTGACTGCTGCAACATCTCAGCTGGGATACTGTGAATTTCATCTTGAATTCTAAATGGCAAAATGTTTACTTGATCAAGTTCACTGTCTCGCAGTGTTGCCACTTGCTCATGTCTGGCACTACGCACTTAAAAAATTCCCGTTTTTTGGGGTCACCATATATATGTGTGTGTGTGTGTGTGTGTGTGTGTGTGTGTGTGTAAAAGAACCAAAGAATCAAATTACAATGTTCAAAACATTAATTTAAAAAATATTTATTATACTGTTATTAGAACATGTAAACATCCACTACAAAATTGCACATTTCATTTCAACGTTAAAATAAAATATTTCTTCAGGTGGCTAACAATGATGGTACTAAATGATTTTATTCAAAATTGCAATTAATGAAACACTACTTCACTTTCCGTTTTTTGAAAATTTTCCATAAAAGGTAAAAAGGATTTATATAAAGAAAGAAATCAATAAAAAAGGAAAGAAAAAGTCAAGAGAAAGCGTAGAAAAATTAATCATACTACCAATAGAAAAGACAAAATGTACAATTTTGTAGTAGATATTTACATGTTCTAATGTAACAAGTATAACATATATATATATTATGGTTTTAAGGTATTCTCTATTTATGGGTTAAAGTGGGCTGATGATTGCACTTAGCATGAAACAGACTATTGTCTCTTGATGTTAACTTCAATGTCCACTTTTATATATACAGGGTGTATCAAAAATACTTTTAGAAAATTTTGGGGTGTGTTCCTCACAGCAAAACAAGGACAAAATCCTATATAAACATATGTCTGTAAATCCTTCATTTTTTAGTTATATTTAAAGTAACTTTACAGTAGAAGGTGCTGTGTTGGCATCTAGACTAGGTAACATTTGTCATTTGTGTACATTTGTGGTAAGTCTGTCTTCAACATTTAATGTTTGTAGTAGTGAGTTAACTGAGAAGTGTTCTATTTAACAATGGCAGGTTACACACACACATATACATGCACATATTATATACACACACACACATATATTATATACATGCACATATATATTACACATACAAACACATATATATTACACACACATATATATTACATGCATACACATACACACACATATATAAGTCATCCTTTTATCATTCTGAAAATGTTCCACTTTATAACATGCCAGAAGTGTGTAAAGCCTAATTTGCTTTTTAATTTCTGCCATTTTGTATTTTCTATTATTCCTTTCTTTTCAACAATCAATGAATGACCAAAGTACTTGAAAAACACAGAAGATAGACAAAGGATTACTCTATTAAATCTAACAATTTCTGTTCTGGTTACAAAAAGTTACATTGAATTATTTCTTTTGAAATATTAAAATGGATTAACAACATGCGAGTATCACTATGAGTTTGGACACAAAATGACAATTCTTCAATAATTTCAAAGTTGTTTGAAACTGATATTTCTCATTATTTCTGGAAATAAATTGGACTCAAGATTGCTGTATTACAAGATCATATTTATTTAAATTATTTCAAACAATAACAAGAAAGTTTACAATTTATTCCAGGGAATTTTATTAGCAAATCTATCAACTGTACCAGAAGCAAAAATTTTAAAATCTCAATCAGAAAATTGCAATTCTCAGAAAAATAATTCAGAGACTGTTCAATTGAAATTTCAAATAATAAAATCCAAAGTAGGATCTGCAATGTTATTGGTCTTGATCTGGCATCTCACCTTCAGTCACTTTTTCACCACTGTAACATAGCTTCTCTGTACCTTTTCTATAAATACCTTCATGGTAATAGTTCTGATGAACTTTCTGCTATGGTATGTAGACTTTATGAATTTAAGTGCAATACTAGATTGACGGTAAGATTACATCATTTTACAGTTGAAATAAATGTAACCATAAATTCACCGATATGAGTTTCTTCTATCACAGTTCTCACTTGTGGAACTATTTTCTGGCTTCTTGCATTCCAGTCAACTTTGATCTCCAAAAACTTGGCTTTATTGCCTTGTTTGGCATGAAATTATTAAAAAAAATGTATTTTGTATAAAATACATTAAAAAGCTATATTTTTATGGAGAATCTTTGATCTTTCACCTTTAGTTAATAGTTCAAAGTGCTTATAGCTAAATCACTATAAAACACCAGTTCCCATATGATCACCAAAGTTAAGCAAAGTCAAGCCTAGTCAGTACTTGGGTGACCACTTGGGAATGCCAAGTGCTGTAAGCTTGGATGTGCAAGTGGTGTAATGGATAATGGCTCTGAATTGTTAATAGGAAAGCAGAGTTCCAATTCCAGTTGAGTTCATTATATTCACAACAGAAATATTCTATTGGTCCATCCATGTTTCTGAAACCCCCTCTAACTCGGGTCACATTTGCTCTATGTAGACATACCTTTTCGGAATTAGAATCATCCTGGAATTGAAAATCTGCCCTTCATCTGGTACTTGATCATCCAGTATTGGGATTTTGTGTCTAAATGACGAGGAAACAGGTAAAAATTCAAATCTTAAAATAACGGAAACAAATAAGTGATTTTAAAAGTTTTTAATTTATATAGAGTTTAAAGTAACAAAAACTTTGTGAATTTAAAAAATTTTGTTTTAAATTCAGTTTAAGATATCTCCAAAACTTTGTGAATTGGGGAAATCAATTTTATTTCGTTAAAATATCAAGGAATCAAAGTGAAAGTGAGAGGTTTTGTGATATGAGCTTTTGAAGTTCCACAGAGTTTGTCATTTAAAGAAATCAACTCAATTGAAGTTCGACTGTGTTTGTGGATTAAAGAACTCAATTTTCAGCTTGAATTGGAATTTCAGTCCAAATCAGTCTTTTGGTCAGAATTGGACTTATAGCCCGAATTAAAGTGAGGTTTTGAAGTTCTATGGAGTGAATTGAGGTATTCAAAATTATTTCTTTAAAATTATTATTGCTGTTTTCTAAGTTGGACCAGAGGACCAGTTTGGGGCTGGAGGCTAAATTAGCCCTCCACAGGGAGCTAGCTTAAAAGTCTACACAAAGTGTGGCTTTTAAGCTAGTAGACTGAATATACAGGGTTCAGCAGTAATAATTCCCACATAATGGTAAGACATTAGCAAGATGAAGACACCATTGCCACTATCTTACCATTATGTAAAAGGTATTTCTACCACATCAAGTTGTAACCTGATGAAAAAATGTTTTAAAAATATTAATTTTGAACTTATAAAATACTTACAAGTCATTGGGAAGATTTGAACTTAAAATAAACCAAGTAAAATCCTTTATAACTGAAATTCCCTGCCTAGCCCTGAGGAAGTTATGACGATGTGATTAAAGTTTGTCAAAACTCTGCAAAACCCAAATGGAATTGGAAAATGTTATTTTAGAATCCTATATGGCAGACTTATATAGAAATCTTGCTAAAATATATGATCCTGAGTGCTTTAAAGTCATGGATCATGAGTAGTGCTAGTGGGAGGTTCCTTGTTAAAAAAAGAGGGATTTTATGTGGATGCTTAATTAATCAGATCCCTCATTCAGATCGTTATCCTTATAAATGCACACATACCCCCACTTTACACAGTTCATGCTAGGCAGTTGCCAGGACCACCCTGCTACCTATTTTTATTAAAATTCTAGCAGTAGTGAAGTTGGCAACACACCTGCATTTTAACCATTCGATATCCCTCAGTGCTTCAAGGGAAGAAAACAATTTACTGAAGTTGAACCGCATTAGTGTGATTGCTGCAACTTTTATATTTTCTCCTCATTAATAAATTGTTGATAGCTTTATCAACAAAGTTTGTTCCAAGTATAAATTCTCCACCTTTCAAGGAAGGTCACTTGAATTAAGTAAGTCGCTACAATTGAAACATCGCCTGGACCACAAACAAAAAATCCACCACATGTTGGAGTGAATAGAAAGACACACTGCATGATTCATCACATCAGGTACATGACATCAAGAAAGATTGATAACATAGGTTCAAGAGAAATGAATGACAGAAATAGCCACTCCCAATTTACACATCCTTCACTGAACTGTAATACCTGTGGTATCATGATTACTGGCTAAAGTTTACATTAAGCATAATAATATAATTTAAGAATTTATAATTTAAGAAAATGCTAACCCACACATTTGATACGAAAAAGATGACCTAAGTAATTCACTGGAATTTCTTACATTGTCTTACAAATAATGAAATTCAGGCTAAAGCTATTATTAAGTCCATCAAGTTAAAGTTTTCTCCTTTCATTGTCTCATGTTTAATTTATCCACATTATTCAATGTAAATTTTGCCTTTTGAACTGAACCACAGTATCTGTCAATATGTTCAAGCAAAGAGTTTTTAAACTATACTGTACAAAGAAGATTTCACAAACAAATAGGCATCAGAGAATTTTTTCTTGAGATAACGGAAAATATACAGTGTATTTTACTAAATTGAGTATCTGCAATTATTTTCTTAAAATTTCAGATCATATTTTCAAGGTTAGTTTTTTTTTGTTTTTTTGCTAATAAAATACCTTCAGAAATTTAGATTTATAAAAACTTTAAAAGTAAGGACATCCAAAATTTGCTAGTAAAAATTAGCCACAAGTAAAATGGGAGTATAACTGACCTGAAGAAAATATTTCAACAAACATTCGAAACCAAAAAAAAAATATATGAAACACTGATTGAAATTTTTCTCTGAATTTTTAAGATGAGAAGTTATCATCATTATACAATAATTTCTTCAGACTAGTGTCCGCATCTTGGTTGTCATCGAGAAAATATTTCAGAAACTGTACCATATAAACTTCTTTTCAAACTGAACTTGTCACTCAATAATTGCTAGGTCTGCTGCTAAGAAAGTTGGTTCACTGTGTAATTTTTCTTTCCAGAATCTATCTTACATATCTATAAGTGTATCATTCACCCATGCTTCAAATACTGCTGCCACATATGGTCTGGTGCTCCTGCTATATATTTTGAGATTCTTGATGAAATTCAAAGAAGAATCACCAATCTTATTGGTCCTGACCTAGCATCTTGGCTTTAGTCACTTTCCCACAGCCATAAAGTTGCTTCTCTGTGCCTTTTCTATATATACTTTCATGGTAATTGTTTGGACGAACTCTTCGCTATCATACTTAGACTTTATGAATTTAAGCAAAGTACTAGATTGGCAACAAGGTCGCATCAATTTACAGTTAAATTGGCAACAGGCAACTGTAAGTCTTATGCTAACAATTTTTTTAGTTTTCTCACACTTCTCACTCCATGCTTTCCACCCAACTTTGATCTTCAAAAATTTAAATGCAATGTCAATTGTTATCTACTATCTTTCTGATTATTATTCTATTGTTTTCACTCCTTAATAAAGTTTCTCTTTCTTAATTCTTTCACATCCAGTAACCCCTTGTGACTTACTGCCTTTACTGTCTTGCATGGGGTGAATTCAATTAAAAAAAGAAAAAAATCTACAATTTATACTGTTTTCCTTTTAATGCCATGGGTGTTTATTATAGTTAAAAAGAATATTATTTTCAACTGAATTTTTCTTCCATCCACAGGGTTAGTTTGTGTTTTTCATGTAGCCTACATTAGAAAATATCAAAGTTGTATCATTTGTGATCAATCTTCATCAGCAAACTGCTAAGATTTTTCCAGAGTCTACTTTCATATTTGAATTCTGTAAAAAAAAGATGACCTAAGTAATTTACTGGAAATTTGTTTCACTCTTACATATTCTCAGTTTTATTTTTTTACACTGCAATTCTCTGAAATTCTAATACACAAACATAACAAGAAAATGTTTTCTCTCCCACATGTATTTACACATGACCTTGTTTTTATGATTCCATAAAGTGGAAGAATATGGCTACTCTGTGTGCTTTTTAATGTGAACTTTTAACTTTGAATTATGGGAAAATGTTAACCCACATAATTGACAAGAAAATAAATTCGCATTTATATGTTTTCTCATGTGGCTTTTCAAAACGTAATTGCGAGAAAATGCCGATCCACACACCTCACATGAAAATGGTTTCTCTCCTGTATGTCTTCTCATGTGAACAGTTAATGTGGAATTCTGTGAAAATGCTAACCCACACACTTGACACGAAAATGGTTTCTCTCCTGTATGTATTCTCATATGGTGCTTTAAACTGGAACTGTGTGAAAATTCTGATCCACACACTTGACAGAGAAATGGTTTCTCTCCTGTATGTATTCTCATGTGTTCCTTTACATGGGAATTTTGTGAAAATGCTGATCCACACACTTGACATGAAAATGGTTTCTCTCCTGTATGTATTCGCATATGTCTTTTAAAAGTAGAATTCAATGAAAATGCTGATCCACACACTCGACAAGTAAATGGTTTCTCTCCTGTATGTATTAACATGTGAAATCTTAACATGGAATTATCTGAAAATGCTGATCCACACAATTGACAGGAAAATGGTTTTTCTCCTGTATGTAGCCTCATGTGAACTTTTAATGTACAATTACGTGAAAATGCAGATCCACACACTTGACAAGAAAATGGTTTCTCTCCTGTATGTATTCTCATGTGTTCTTTCAATGTGGATTTCCATGAAAATGCAGATCCACAAACTTCACAGGAAAATGGTTTCTCTCCTGTATGTATTCTCATGTGGTATTTTAGTCTGTAATTGTGTGTAAATGCTGATCCACACTCTTGGCAGGAAAATATTTTCTCTCCTTTGTGTATTTGCATATGAATTTTTAAATAAGAACTCTCTGTAAATGTTGATCCACATACTTGACAGGTAAATGTTTTTTCACCTGTGTGCATTTGTATGTGGTTTTTTAAATCTGACATCTGTGAAAATGTAGATTCACACACTTGACATGGAAATGTTTTCTCTCCTGTGTGTATTTCCATGTTGTTTTTCAAAAGTGAAATCTCTGATATTGCAATCCCTATACTTGAAAAGATTCTTGTCTCTCTACTACACGTGTCCACATGTGGCTTTTCAAGTTAGAATTATATGAAACATATTTATATTTTCTCCTTCAGTGAAGTTTCTCTCAAAGATGTACTTTTAATTTCAATCTTGTGTAAATGATCATCACCACATAAGAAGGATTTATCTATAATGTGTGCTTACATATCTCTTTTCAAATTTAAACTCTGCAAAAAAAAGCATATCTGCACATTTGACAAGAGATGTATAACTTGCCAATAAATTTAAATGTGCATTTGAAAATGCAAATTTCGTAAAAATA